CAAAATTGATTTCACAGCAGCGAAGAGTGATGCAGTGGCTGAGCTAGAAGTGATGGCTGCCACAGTAAACCAACTTTAATTTCCTCCACAATTTCTTTTTTCACTTTACCAGACTTAATACTCTGGCACAGAAAGACAGATTATTGGGAAATAGGCTCAGGTGACCATTGAGAATGTGGTATGTGTTTGATTAGGTTTCTATTTAAGGAGGGATATTATTTGGGAAATTGAGTCTCACTCTTTATTAGAGACTGATTCTAGCTTATCAGCTGAAGAGGTTTAGGTAACATTTCAACTACACAGCTGGAAATGGTACAATAACCCTTGATTTTAAAGGAATAATTATTGCATCCGGCTTAGGCTTAAAAATAGAGAAAAACAGACTTACAGGGCACAGCAAAGGAAATCTCATTTTGTTTTTTATTTGAAAGCAGCAAGTAGAAAACATGTTGTCATGTAGCTGTCAGTGGGATCTTGACACCTGAATCAGAAAGACTTCAAACACTGGCACGAAGCAGCAGCCCCAGTTCTGTGCAAACTTGTGTCTCCTGGATGGGGAAGGGAAGAAGAAGCATCTGGTACTTCCCTTCCCCATTTCCTACAGCCTGCCACAAACTCCCTTCTCTCCTGGTCAAGATAGAGGCTGTGCTGTTCAAAGGAAATTAGAAGGTGAGCATTGCATCTTTGCTTATCATTTGTCACCTCAGATCTGGACCACGGGGAAATGTCCATCGGGGTGAAATCTGTGTCTCAGAGCCTGTGACTCTCCAGGGAATAGGCTGACATGAGGAATACCCTAAAAGTGTCCCATTTAGCCCAGGTATTAAGCTGCAGGCGAGAGGTTGAGAGGAACATTTTTAAAGCAGAGCAAAAGACTTAGTGATGGAATTTCTGTTGACATTAGGTCCCACACACTGCATTGAGAATTTAGCACCTAGAAGCTACCTTAAATCTATAATGCAGTAATGGTATTAAATGAGGAGGGACATTAAAGCATTGGCTTAAATCTTGGATTTCCATAATGCTCTGAAATGGGACAATAACAAGTCTAGTGCTTGGTCTTGATTAATTATGTGAGAGGGATATGCTGGACTGGCCAGCACTGTCATAGGCACACTGTTTATTTAAAAAGTGATTATATTTTATTTTCTTTCCTAAATGCTCCATCAGCTCTATCTTTATAGGTAGAAGGTTCCTCATGGAGGTCACTTGCAGGGAAGTGTTCCCAGGAAAAGCAGGTCAAATTTTCCTGATACCCACAGCAATCAAATGCTGTTTTCATAGAGAAGACCTGCTAAATTCTTTCAATTCTTTAGAAAAAGTTGTGTTCTTTTTTTCCTGAGAAATGCAGTTAAGATTGGTTTGAAGCTTCTGAGAAGCTTAATGAACCGTGGCTATGCCTGTAGCTTTTAAACATTTGGAAACTTTTGTTGCTAATTAACTTCATTAATAGTACTTAGAGGCACAGTGGCCAATATTTACCAAGCACTGGTGTTATTGCAAAGCACCAGTGGAGCCAGTGGCCCAGCAAATAGATTCCTTACAGAAAACTACAGAGCTGAACTCATCGTGGTCAGATAGTTTCTCCTCTGAGTTAAAAAAAAAAAAAATGGAAAACCTCATTGATGCTGTTGTTGAAAAAAAACCACAGTGGTGTTAAACGAATTGATGGAACTTCCTAATCCTGCTGGGCTGGTCCCAGAGCTGCATTCCCCCAGGGGATTCAGAGTGCACAGGGAGCTGGCTGCAGGATCCACGAGCTGTCCAGGGCTGGACAGAGCAGTCCTGCCTCCACAGGGACCCTCAGTGCTCAGGGGAGGATGCTGCAGAAACATCCCTTTCCAAGTAAACCCCAGCCAGGAGCTTGGTGGCACTGAGGGATGTGGCTCTCAATGCCTGGATGACTTCAGCATCCGTCCAGCAAAATTTCTGACATTGTGGAGTCCATGGTAGTCACTGAGTGCACTCCTGGTGAGACCACCCTGAACAAAACCTTCTGCTTCCCTGCTCAGCTGAAAAGGGAGGTACACCAGACTCTCTCTGCCATGACAGAAATGCCCTCTGAAAAGGCAGGGAGGTTTCTTGGGCACAGCTAGCTGAAGTCCAGCTAATTGGACATCACTGCAGCAGCTAACTGATCTGGAAAACTCCAGAACTGTGTAGATGTTACAAGAAAAGTAGCTGGAATTATTTCTTGAAAAGGTTCTCACAAACTTCTCCCTATTCTTTTCCTCTCTTTTTATTTTTTTTTTGTTTTATTTTACCTCTTTTATAACCTGTTTTCTTTACAGTGCATCCTTCAGGGGACACTGTTGAGCTATTCACTATAAACCTAAAATATATACATCTAGGTTGGTATATATATGGAAATAGATTAGCCTCTTTGACTTATATTTCTAGTCAGTCTGTCCAGATTAATGTGTTGTACCAAGGGAAATCTCCTGATCTGAAAAAGGTTTAAACTATGTTTTGTTTTATTATTATCACAAGAAGATTTCTATTGGTATGATGGCTCTTCAGTGCTTCTCTGCAGCCCTTTTGGCTTTTACTGCTCTGACAGGATTTGGGTAGATTCTGAATGCTGCTGGGAAAAACTTTGCTGAAGATCTCAGGAATATAATCCTCTCCTTCTGGTTTTGCTACAAGCTCTTCTCTCTCTTTTTTTTTTTTTTTTTTTTTTTTTGGCATGAGAGCCCAAATCCAAGCGGATTGCTGAGATTGTGAGGGCAACTGGAAAAGGAGGAACACCTTATCAGGCAATGGCTCCACAAGAAGGTTTTAAAAAATTTTCTTATCTCCATGCTATTATCTACAACACCAGTTCCTCTTAGGTTCTATACCAAAAGAGGTCTCTCTCAGGAATTCATCCCCTGGTGTATTATATTGTGGATGGCTGAATTCCCCTTAAGAAGTTAAGATTTTTACTCTTATTGCCCATGAGAATGGGCTGTAGGAGAAAGCTGGAGAGACAGAGAAAAACATCCTGTTGGATGACATGGTTCTGAGCATTGCTGAGGGTCCCTGGGTGCTGATCTGGAGGAGTTTGGCTCAGTCCCTCAGTCTCATGTGTCCTCTGCAGATGATAATCTGTGCCTGCAAGGCCATGTCAGCATTTCCCAAGGTCCCTTAACACTCCCTGGCACTGTAGTTGGGATCATATTCCACTCTTCATGAAAAGCAGAATAGGCCTGTGCATAACTGGAAGTTGGATCTCTGGAGAGCAATAAACCTCCAAGGTTTACAATGGGTATAAACACACCTTTTTTTTTTTTTTTTTTTTTTTTTGGCTATTGTGAAAAGTTTGAAGGGTTTCATATTTTTCTTTTCTCTGATAACTTAAACCCCTGGGTGCCTGCTGCTACTTAGACAAGAAGGGAAGGAACAGTATTAAATACAGTTTAAAATAATCTAAAAGGTATGTGGAAGGAAGACAGGATCAAAGTAAATGGCAGTTAAGTAAACTAAATGGGAGTAAAGTATTGAAATGGACTACAAAAAGGAATAGAGAAAGATCCTTATGCAAAAACCAAAAGGAGGAAACATTTGAGCTACCATCTTGGGGCCTGATTCTGCTCCTGCCTGGTTGTCACCAAGTGATAATTGCCAAAGTGATTCTGCAATATTCTGCACAAGGCACCTCCTTTGCCTGTGCCCAGTGGTGCTGCAGACTCTGCTGTGAGCAGGGTGGGACCGCAGCTGTCACTGGGAAATGAAAAAGAGATGAGTTGCTGCAATCACAGGGCTTGAAAGTGTGCCTGGTGTAAACATCAGCGAGACATTTGGTGCACACTATCACTGGCCAGCCTCTGTGTGAACAGGTCTAAGGCTTTGGAATGGTTTAGCCATCTCTAAAGGGCTGTAGGGGTTTTATCCACTTCAGCTCTCTAAGCCTTTAGTGCCAAATCCTTGTCCCTTGTAAGTCTCCAACAAAATCACCACTAGTTTCTATGGGTGCAGGATTGGGTCCCTGGAGCCCTTTAAGTAATTTAAACCACTCTAAATCCTCGAAGCAGCTTAAGTGATAAGCTACTTGTTCCAGAGTTTTCATCTTGCAGCCCCAGCTTGTAAAATACTCCAGGCAGCTCGTGGTGCACTTGGCTGTGAGCTCACACAGATGCATTGCTTTGGAACACAGAGATAATGTGGTGAGATCTTGCTATCAAACTCTCAAGGTGTTTTACTTTTAGAGAAAGTGGGACTTTTGATATTTTTTAAACATAGTAAATAACTTCCAGCAGCTGCCACATGAGATGCTGTTCCCTGTGCTCAGGCAGGAGAGATAGAGCCAAAAGCTCTGCATTCAGACCCTGCTGGTGGTGCCATTTGCTGCTACATTCCCAACCAGTCTTTGTGATGTCAGGAGCACCAGAGGCTCTTTAATGTACCCTGCTTTTGAATGATGATTGGAAAATAGGATAAACCTGGGAAACACTTCACAAAAACTCTTCTGTAAAAAGTCACTTGAGGAAGTCTTGGCAGCCACTTTGGAAGTCCTAGAGATCAGCAAGCAGCATTTGGACAGGACTGCTCCAAACAGGTAAGTGTCTCTAAAGGGAAAGGGAGGTAGAGGAGCCAGACCAAAATTTCACTGCATTTCCACCCTTTCATTGGCATGACAGCACCCGGTTCACACTCGTCTTTTCATCTATTTTTTGCAGATCTGCAAATCAAGGCAATTGTGGCCAGGCCCGGTCAAGGGGATATTTTAGGGAACTTATTAAGTCTTGCTGAAATCACAGCAGTTTGCCACTTAGGGCATAATGAAAGAGCCAGAGATGTTGTCTGAGACTTTAGCCAAGCTGTCTCCCTGGAGATGGATGTTTTGCTTCTGTTCAGAAGAGTCAATGTTCCTGCAGTAATGTGGGAGGCTCTGATGGTGCCCAGCTCACATCTTAGCTCCAGGAGCAGATACAAAGACTGCAGCTCTCCACTGGCTACCACAGCATGAAATCTTTGCTAGCTCTGCTGTCCAGCACCATTCCTACACACCATCTCAGCAGTTCTTCTGTCTCCTAGCCCCTCTCTCCTCCACTGCTGGTCCTACTAACTCTGACTCCTACTAACTTGAAGACACTGGAAAATTACCTTCCAGTCTTGCACACTCCTCTGCTGCCCCTCTTTTCCCATTCCTCTTTCCTTCCCATCATACTCATCACCCTTTGCCTTCCTGTTTACATCAGCCTCCCCCATTCAAACTCTCTTGGTTGTCTAGATAAATTTCATATACTGAATTACAGCTGCAGACCAGAGCCCAAGACACCTGTGTCTGATTCCTGCCAGTGTTCATGAGCTTTTGTGACTCAGCCCCTTTCTGATTCTCCTTCCTCATCTATGAGCTAAAGCTGGGAAAAACATCAAAAGGGGTGTTGTGTTCCTTGGGTTCAGGGCACAATATAAATCCAGGGAGTGATTGCTGTTAACCTCTTCTGTGAGAAGTTGAACTGGCCAAATTTTCTGGTGGAGGCCATTGGCTGCCTTTCTTGGCTGTAACATGCCATTTTTCCTGAATTTATTCCCCCCTTTTCCCTCCCAGGGAATGAGATGTGCTTGGCACAGGAGCTGCAATCCATGCAATATTATTATTAGACAACAAACAGTGTCCATGAATGATTTAAACACAGGCAGAGCTGCTGATATTGATTTATTTTAAGCTCTATAAAGAATTGCATGGAGATTATTTTAATGGGAATTATTAGGTTATCCATGGAGGAATCTTCAAAAGTACCCCTCTGCAACAAGGCAAATAGTGAAGTTTTTGATTTGCTGGGGCTCTTTTGGGGCTCCATGCCCTGGGCTGCCTCTGCCAGCAGCACTGGGAGGGACAAGGCACTGGCTCTGGGGGTGTAATTTCTCTCAGTTCCCCCCTGTAATGAAAACAAAACTGCTGCCTTGCTGGAAGGAACAGAGAGTAAAGCCTGGGAGGGGATGAGGAGCAGACTGTGCAGACACTGATGGATGCTGTAATATTGTCCTCTCTTCTCCCTGGAGTTTCATGTGCTGAACAGCTTCTGGCAGAGCCCTTCCTCCTCTCCTGCCTGCTTTCCATGCCCAGTGATCTCCCTCCTTTCCTTTCTCACTTTCTTCCTGTCCTCTTAAATCTTCCCTGCTGGCCTGATGTTTCCAGCCCTCCACTTTCTGATTCTCACATCCTATCTCCACGTCTCATTAGGCCTTCAGGACAGAAAATATCCACTTGACCTTCCTTAACAAGCCAGCCTATACTGGTGGACTTTGCTCTGGCTGAGGAACACTCACAGCTCTTCAACCCACGCTTTACTGCAGGTGCCTTCCCTCCTTCAACCTTTCAGGAGGTGAAAAACCACCAAAAACTGGCAACAAGCAGGCTGGTTGAGGGAGAGCTCTTTAACCACCACTGACTTAGTGTTAAGACAGTCTTACCCTCTCACTCTTGACACTAAAGTCTCAAAATAACAAGAAATACACTTTGTATTCAGATGTTCTCTGTTCAGATTAATTTACATGTTGGTTTTTTGGGTTTTTTTTTCTGCACAGAGAGATAAAGAAACATTGCAGAAAAATGCCTAAGGTATATATGGGAATTGGATCCCCAACCCTTATTAAAAGTCAGGAAAACTGGTGCCTAAGAGTGGTTCATGTCTTTGAAACTCTCTCCTGTTGATTTCAGGAGAAGGCAAAAGTGAGTGAGTCCTCCTGCACTGAAATGTCTTGGTGAAGACAGAAGACTTTCAACACACCTTTGTGTTGACTTAGGAGCACTGAACAGAGAGATTTAAAAACCAAATCCCATTTTAACAGTCACCTACAAACCTCCAGGTCCAGCTTGGAAACCTGCTCAGAAGGTGCCTCTGCACGTGCAAGCCTCTCATCCTGCACAGCTTTTGAAATTAATTGAGAATTTAATGCACTGGAATTGGATCTAATCTCCTGGATGCTGTCCTCTGCTCCAACGAATGGCAAAAATTAAAAATAAGCTCCTTTGCAGAGCAAGATGTCTGAAAAGCAGGCCCAAACCCCAGACAGTGAGCAAAGCTGGTGAGAATTTGAGTTATCCATGTGTGGAGAGAGGTGCAGGAACATGGGAGCAGGAAACAGGAGCAGCAGAAGCCTCTGGCACCACACAAAAGAGGAGAGACCTGACTTTCTGTGGCCAGAGACACTTTCAGTTCCCAGGGGTCACTTGAAAAGAAGCCTTTTGTAATATGAAGTTAATTTAATTAATCTTGAAACAATCCGAAGCAAAATCACTGCCAGCTATGTTGCTTTTAAATAAGGATTTCAATGGGCCAAGATTTAGCATCCTTTATAGACCCATCTGCCTAAAGGCCTGTATCTTATCTGATCATTTCCATGGCAACACTCTGGGATTAGAAAAGGATGAATGTTTAGGAATAGTTGCTGGAATTTCATGGAAGATGATGAATTGAGGATTACTTCACTACCCACGTGTTACCATGGAAATGCACATTTACAAATTGCACTGGATTTAAAACCCCACTGCTGTTGTATAAATTTGTGCTGCTTTCTGAAGGAGCTCCAGGAGCAGAAGTTGCCTCTCACCTCTCCAGCCCCACTGAGCACAAAAATGACCGTGGTGGCTATGAAAGGAAAAGGAAACAAGTGGCAGGTCTTGGGCCCAATTTTTCCTCCTAAATGAAACCCAGGTAGTCAAAAGGGTTAAAATGTTAAAAAAATATTTCACACACAGAAAAGCCACCAATCAAAACCAATCCCCCCTTTTAACTTATATATAATGGAATTTGATAAATGGATTAACAGATTTTTGAATTACCACATGTGACGTCTTGACTTAGGAGACTTTCAGTCTTGCAAACCTAAGGTTATTTCTAAGACTGTTTTTATTGCTTTTGTGAAATTCTTACTTTAAGTGTGAAACAAATCTACAAAGTCTGTTTTGTAAACCATTCATAAAATAGTCCATATTTTAGTAAACTGCTCTGCTCTACCACTGGGACTGATGTAGGACTTGAGACTAATTCTTACTAAAGTCTTGGAAAACCCAGTTCCCATCATTGAAGCCCAGAGCAAAACCAGAAATATTCCCTCTCCATACATAAACCATGAAAATTCAGAGGGTCAGATAAAGAACCGCTGGAAATTCTTTTATCACAGACACACCTGTTTTTTGTAGGGCCTGAGGAAGCATCTTACCATGCAAACTACAAATATCAAAATAAAGAATGGCATGATAACTCCAAGAAGACTCCTGCAGCTGATCCATTAATTTAATCTAAAGGGACCAGAGCATCTTTGAAGCAAAACTGAAGATTTCCAGCAGCTTGAGAAGGAAGTGTTATTCATTTTATTTTGTATATCAGGAAAGTGAGTCCAGGAAAACTACCCTGAGAGTCAGCAGCCTGGCTGAGGATGTGGCATTACACAAAACTCACTGGTGTTTGCTGGTTATAAAGGTATATTCAGTGCCATTACACAAAACTCACTGGTGTTTGCTGGTTATAAAGGTATATTCAGTGAGGGATGGGTGTCACAATGATGGCTGGGGTAGTGATGTGCTGCTTCTTGGGGGAGAAGCAAAGATGTCCTCTAAGGAGCTCTGTGGCTGAGAGTGCTCCAAAACAAATCCATCTGCACTGACAGTCCTGCCAGCAACAAATCTGCTCAGCCTGACATCCCCACTGCCTAAAACCAGGCAGAAACACCCAGGGCAAGGTGTTCCCAAGTGAGGGCAGCTTCTGTTCATCCAGCCACCACCTGGCCCTCTGTTATTCCTCATGCATTTCACAGATCCTGGCCTCGCTGCAAATACACCACGGTGATGCCATAAGCTGTTCTGGCTGTCTCAGTGACCTGGGAATGGGAGGAAGGGAGAACACCTTCTCCACGGATGGCAGAAGAGGCACATCAGCTCACACCCTCTGCAGACATGCCTGTGTTGCATTTTTGGTATTGAGAGCAAGTCAAAACCCAACAACACAGAGGCTCTGCAGTCACATTCCCCACCTGACCTTCCCATGACAGGGTGAAGCACTCACTGGTGACCCAGGCATTAAGTTAGCTGTCATTTTTGGAAAATGTCATGGTGTGGATCTCCTCTGCACTGAGGAGGTCACTGCTAATGCAGAGCTCAGCATCCTCCCAAACCCATGGATTTGTGGAGGGGAGATCCTTGTCCCTGGGTTTAGTGACAGATTTGGGTGTTGACACTGCATTACACCTAGCAACAATTTATGATGGGATTTTTTCCATGTTCTCCCTTCCTCTTTCTTGCAATCTTTGTGCTTTTTTTCCACTCATTTGATTGTGTTTTTTGTTGTTTTTTTTTGTTTTGTTTCGTTTTGGGGGTTTTTTTGGTTTTTTTTTTTTTTAATATGAGACAAATTACTTTTGGGCTGTGCCTCTTTGGGAAAAGTAGGGGGCAGATCTCCTCAGCTGCCTGAAAGCCCTGCTCCCACCACCACCACGTTCAGCCTCCTGCAGACTTTCTCAGGAGCAATTAGGAAATTGCTGGAGCAGTCAGAGCTGCAGAGAGGCAGTGAGGATGCATGGCATCTTCCCAAGGGTGAGAAAATCAGAAGTGAATCAGCTGTTTAGAAAACCTCCACCCTTTCCTCTAAGATAAGCCTCACAGCTGGACATAGAGCCAGACACAATGAGGGAAAACAGCCTGGCTGAGGTGGGGTTTCCTTCTGCCCTCGGTCCTGACCTTTGGGAATGGCATTTCCCAAGGGAGAAAACCCCTGGCAGGCTCCACTTGGACCTGCTCAGACACCCCCAGTGCACTGGAGCCAGTGCATTATCCCAGAGTTCTTTTCTTTTTTTATTTTATATTTAATTTTGTAAATGAGATGGCATTCTTAACTCATTAACTCCAGGAGCTGGATCCCACTACAAATTCAAATACTCAGGGTAAAAATGTTGTGGATTTCCAGCTCTGGTAACCTCAATCAAAGAGAAAGCCTTCACTGAGTGACCTAGAGACATGCAGCAATGCAGAGCAGACAGGGTTTGGTCTTGGAAATAACAAGGAGACACTTGGCAGGAAAGAACAACCACCCTGAGATTTACAACTGCAAATTTGCTTCCTTTCAAGCAGACCTCGTGCATCCCACTGCAGGTTTCCCATACTAGTAACACTCCTACAGATTTTGGATTACTACTGCAAAACAGTCACAGCACCACAGGAGTGACTCTACAGTATTTTGAGGTCCTTTACATGCATGCAGAGAATCTTTTATGTTTAGACAGTGTCATTCTGTCCCTACACAGCTACACCAGAGTGGGGGTACAGGAGCCAGGGACTGCAGGGAATTGCCCTGTTCACTGTTGCAGTACAAAGCCAGCTCATAACTCTTATCTGAAAAGTCCATGTTCAGTTCTTGGGGAGAACAACAGCAAAAGAGGATGTGGGGTCCAACAACCCCCCCAGGAAAGCAAAAAAACACTGCAGGGTGCTTTGTAGTGCTGAAGGCAAATTGGGGAAATGAAAGGCAGTGATAAGGGCTCCCACTGAAATTAATTGCAAAGCTCCTGGTGACATAAGGCATGCTCAATAGGAGAAAAAAAAAGTGAACCTAAGTCTTGCTTTTTAATGTTTTGTTTCCTCCATTCTGTATAATCCCAAAATAGCCCTAGGAAGTAGAAGAAACATGACTCCAAGACAGACTTTTCCTCTTAAGACCCAATTTCCTTCCTTGAACAGTTTGGAGAAATTTCAGCTACACATCTCCCTGAGCAAGGGCTTTATTTGAGGCTGCCCTATTGTTAGAAAAAACCCATCAAAAATCCTGTGGCCTGTACAGCAGACATCCTGAGTCAGGCAGGTCAGGCACAGAGTTCAGGATTTTGTTCTTTTAGGGTGCTATTGTATCCAAGAAAGCAGGATGTGAGATTTACCCTGGCTTTTTGCTCTTAAGCAAGAGGCAGGGACTCTGCAAGATGATATTCTGCACAGGGAGTGGGTTCAGACACAAAACCCAGCACAGGCAGTGGCTTCTGGCACAGCCTGTGTCACTTTGCCCCAGACAGGGCAGCCTCAGCCCAGCAGCAGGCACAGCCAGGCTCCACCTGAGCTGAGACAGGGCAGGAGCACCACGGAGCAGCATCCTCAGCTGGGGGTGAGCATCCTCCAGGGGTGTATAAACAGCTTCAGACAGAGCCACTGAAGGAAAACCCAGAGCACAGGATTTTGAAATAGAATTCAGGATTTCAAGGTTAAAAAGTTTCTAATAGACCTGGTTTGGGGTGAGAACTTTTTTGGCAGGAAGGCTTAAACCATTGCTGAAATATTAGTAGAATATCTTCTATTACTAATGATGACATTTGAGATTTAGCTGATGTAGAAATGTTGGAAGCCCTTAGTGTCTTGGAGCTCAGATGAAGACAAAAATAACATTTCAGCAGGTGAGCAGGGCTTCAGAGATTACAGGGGCTTCCCATTCCTCTTCCAGACAACTCACTTTTTTCTCTATTTATTACTTCTAGTGTCAATTCATCCTCCTAGTCAGGCCAGAAGGCACATGACAGGAGAGCTGGAGCTCTGAAGGAGTGGCAGCTGGGGCCGTGGCTGATTCATCTCTGCACAGGGAACCCCCAGCATTTCCATCTCTGAGACTGAGCAAACGTTAATTTCCACAGGCAGGTTAAATTCTCCATAAATTAAAAAGACAAGTAATATTCTGTCTCAAGGGCTCTAATTCACCTGGAAGTGTGAGACCAAGCAGAATTACACCAGTCAAATATAAAGTGCTGTTTCCATTTTTTGTCAGCAATTCTGGCCCTTTCCTCATTTTTTCTCTGTTCTCATGGGCTTCTCAGGTCCACCAAATGGCAAAATTTTATGCTTTAAAGGATAAAACCCAATTGGCAGAATCTAGTGTTTGTAGGAATAGCAAAATTAAAGTCAGGTAAGCAATACTTCCTGAAAAGGTAGAGAAATCAGGAAAACCTCATGTTTTTCAAGTCATAGCTTACTCCAGCTTGCTAGGTTATGTGTCCCTCCACTCAAGATCACAGCCAAGCATAAGGATGCTGTAAATAAAATGTCACATTCTTCAAGCTAAAAAAGCCTCTTGATGCCATTCCCAGCCAGCAATGGTCATTACAAGCTCTGAGAAAATCTGTATCATCATAAAATGCGCCCAAAAGATGCAATAAAAGGCTTAGCAAAGGACACCAGAGAGAACCTTAAGTCTTACTCTCCTGAAGTTGAGAAATCCCTAGGAGAAT